TATAGAATTTTTTATGTAAAATGAACAGGGAAAGGTATTTTGAATTGGGTTGAAAGAGATGTATGGAGATTTGATAAAATAATATTAAATTTTAGGTACAACAATGACTGATAGGATTAATATGAACTAGAATGTAATATTGAGAAGTGATACTTATATAACTGAAAGGATAAACCCCACGTTATAACCTCACAATTTACTAATTCACTTATGGGAGTCATAAGGAGCCGGACACTGATTAGAGATAAGGAGCCGAGGCCACTGATCCGCATGATTCAAGATAAATTGTAATGAGTACACTATTTGAGAGTCATAAGGGGCGACTAATTGAGAGTCATAAGTGTAAAAGCAAGATATAAGATACCCTCATCTTAATATTTGATATAATATTGATTATTGATTCCTACTATTGATTATTAGTTACTATTAGTGATTGTTGATACTCATTTTTTATATTATATAAACATTGACCTTATGAATATTGATTTTGATTATTGCTTATAAGTATTGAATATGAATTCTAACACTATTGCATAATTATATAGCTAATAGATTGACAAGAACGATTAAATGATATATCTGAATGAAATTGATTGTATGATAAGAACATAATGATTGATTGATACTAGGGACCGGTACAAATAGCATATATCATGAGACACTAAACATCATTCAACACTACAGGAAATTCATTGAATACCGACAATTTGACCGTGGCTATTAATTGGCGGTTGTACTGCAGATACTAAATATAATACCACCAGAATTTTTGACGGTCAAATGACAGCCAAAATTACCGCAAGTATTCTCTTTTCATGACACCATTTACTAATAGTTTAGCTGCCATTTTTAAGTGAAAATTATTCGATGATTAAAACTGCCGGAAAAACCATCGGAAATGCCCCTAAAATTGAACCCCCTCCCTTCTTCCTCATTTCTTCACCTAGCTCATTTTATTTCGTCCAGAGAACACTCTTTCCCTCGCTAAACTCCGAACTCGTGCTTGTTCGATTTGTGAAGAGAATGTTGGCGAGCTTAACTCTGCCTGTGCCCTTGCCCGATGCCCTCACTCATGTTTACCTGCCCTAACCGAAGGTGATCTCCATGCATCTCCTTATTTTTTTCTTTAGTCATGGATGCTCTCACTAGATGTTTGCAAAAAGATTTACCTTGGTTTACACTTTTTTTTGTTAATATTCTTCTTGTTGGTAATACTAGAGAGGGAGTTAAAGATAAACTTGAATTACGGAGGTCAAACTTTGAGTCTAAAGGTTGATTTTGAGAAAGCCTTAAGCCTATATCATTTTGTTTTAGTCATGGATGTTCTCAATAGACATTTACAAGAGGATGTAGCTTAGTTTTATACTTTTTGCTGATGATATTCTTCTTATTGATAAGACTAGAGAGGGAGTTGCAGGTAGACTTAAATTATGGAGGTCAACCTTAGAGTCTAAAGATTTTCTCTTGAGTAGATCTAAAACTGAGTATGTGGAGTATAATTTTAGTAGTAATACACCTAATGAGGGGATTGTGACTTTGGGTAATCAAGTTTTTAACAAGAGTACACATTTTAGATATATTGGATCTATTGTTCAGTGTGAAGCTAAAATAGATGTGGGTTATCAACATAATTCAAGTTGGATGGTTGAAGTAGAGGAATGCATCAGGATTATTAAGTGATAGAAAAGTCCCCCTCAAACTTAAGGAAAAAGTCTATAAGATGGTGGTGAGACCTACAATGCTTTATATTGCCGAATATTGGCCATTAAAAGAAAAGCATAATACTAAGTTAAGTTTTGCAGAGATAAGTCACCTTAGATGGTTTGGTAACTTAAAATGGCGGCCTTTCGATGACCCGGTTAGGAAACTAGAGGTATTAGATTTGACTTATATTAAGAAAGGTAGAGTTAGACCTAAAAAGACTTGGCTGAAAATATTAGAAATGATATTTCTTTATTAAATTTTAAACAAGATTTAAGGTTGTATCGTTTCTAATAATTCATTTCACAACTATGTAACAAATATTTGCTTTAACGTCCAAATGATTATCTAAGAAGAGATATATTTGATGTATAATAGATTAGTGCCGGGTCGAAGAGGATTATTAGATGAATTTAAGGAGAGAGTTGAGACTTTTATTTTAGTCATATCTCAACTACCTTCGTTTAAGTCAGATGAAATAGTTAGATGTCCATGATCGAAGCAAAAAAAATCAAGCATTCCTTAATATCATGATGTAAATGTTGATTTATATTGTAGAGAATTTGTTCCAGGATACTAGATTTGGACCTCATATGGCGAGTATGAGCCACATAGAGATACTCATGTCGTTTCATCTACAGCTTTTAAAAATAGTTGATGAAGATCAAATGAGTACACTATATGAAGAACTTATTTTTGATGCAGTAGGTCCTAATTTAAGGACCAACATGAAAGAACCACCAAACCTAGAAATTAAAAAATTCTTTGAATTACTATATGACGCTCAAAAAGCAATTTAGGATGGTTATAAAAATCATTCAGAATTATTAGTTGCGGTTTGGATACCAAGTATCAAAACTGAATATAATATTCATCATGGATGTTTAAATTACTTCATAATTGGTCTTCTCAATAAAGAAAATCCAATAAATAATTTAATTCATGCAGATTTATATCGAACAAAGAAATTAGATTTAAAAATAGTTGATGAATCACCGTTACAAAATTTGATTATTTTATAAATAGATGTATATTATACTATAAGAATGATGCGAAAGAAGTTTATTGTCACACCAGCAATGCACATCGGTTTAAACTAAACTCGGGTAAATAACATCGTTAAAAGAAATATGTTTCAAATTCCTATTTATTTTATTTACTAATTGTTCCATGACTTCAGTGGCTCTATGCATCAATGAGTTCAACATATAATATGAGATGACATAAGGAGAAATTAACACTTTGTGGTGTTCTTTCTCATCCATCAGATGCTTAAGCGTGAAAATATTTTGATCAAATGCATACTTCATTTGTTGTTAATCCATGTAACATAAAATTGGAATTATGTACTGATGGTTTTACTCTATACAATTAGACAGCTTCAACATATTCTTGTTGTCCAATTATACTAATATCATACAACTTTTCACTAGAGATGTGTATGACTACCCCGTACATGTTCTTAACACTTATAATATATAAATCACATAATCCAAAATAAAAAATTGATATTTTTTACAATTGTTAATTGATTATCCCAAGTTCTTATGCGAAGAATGTGTCCTCACATATGACATCTCAACCTCTCCTTAGAGGTATATTGCTTTGGATCATTGGAGATTTTTTAGCTTATGATATTTATTTGGCATTACTTAAATTTTTTGATTTCAAGTTTATTAATATTATTTATTATGCCTATGTTTTACAAAAATATTTTAGGTGGTTGCTTAAGTATGGTACGAGGATCAGAATAAATTTTGAGAGGAAAGAATTTACTCGTCTTATGGTCATATTCACAAACATTAGAAAGTATCATACTAAATTCACCAAATTGAGAGAGTTAAATAAGCAAAATAGAGCATTTATCTAAGGGGGTTTAAGAAACTCTCTTCATACCAATGGTTCAATGCCTCATACTGAACATAGATGAATAATTTATTACACACCTCCAAACTTTCTTACTGAGATTTGAAGTAGAACCAAACCTCAATTGATTTTTCAAATAATATGGTTCCAAAATGACCAAAACTTTAAAATCATAAGAATTTATTGCAAATTTAAAAAATATAAAATTTGAACCGAATCCTCCTATGATCTCGTAGATTAAAGGAGAATTCTTTTTTGAATTATAATGAGCTTGTTTTATAACTTTAATAAATGATTAAACAAAATAAAGAAAATTAAACTTAAAATAAAAATTTCATTCACAACCCCTTAATAAAAGTTTTAAACCCTAAAATTTATTAAAGACACTTAATTTTTCTTGAGACATTGTAAATTGATAGTTCACCTATTGAGTAAAGCGCACAACTTATTATGTTTATGATGCTTTAATAGGTAAGTGAGTTTATGATGCTTTAATAGGTAAGGCTCATTGTATGGTGAATATTCTTCACAAAGTATTCTTTAAAATCTTTTACTGAAAAATGAATCCCAAATTTATAAGATTCAAATAACAAAATTGCAAATCATTGAAAACTTAAATAAAAAATACCCTTTGACTAAATTGAACAATTTAAAATAAAATAATTAGACAAATAAAACCATCTTTGAACCTTGCTTGAACCATGTAAGAACCATCTTCAAATATTGTTTGAACATTCTTTGAACATTTTTTTGAACCTTGTTTGAAAGTACTAACATGTAATCAAGGTTTGATCAATATTCGAAGATGAATCAAATAAATTTAAAGTATGTGGTGTGGTAATTCATTTCTTCCCACGGTCTAATATTGATGCTATTTTTTTTTTATATAACACCTAAATATTTTAAATGAAATAAGATAATCATAATTTGTGTAAAATTTAATAATTTATTAAAATAAATATTGATATTCTTTGAAGCTTAAAATATTAGTTTATTATGAGCTAACAATAGAAATCATATAAAAAAATTTAAGAATATTTGAAAAATCATTAATTTGCACCCACACTAATAAAAATTTCTAGCTTTGCTCCTCGAAAATGTACTAGGAAGTGGAACTATTGAATAACTTTTTATATAATGGGGATATTTTCATCATAAATGAAATTAATAATATATATATATATATATATATATATATATATATATATATAAATCAATTTTCTCTTTACAAAATTAAGCTTGATATTATTTTTTTGAACTATCAAGTATGTATATTTGTGTGTGACCCCATCAAATCATTGAAAATATGAAGCAAAAAAATATATGCAAAAAAAAAAAAAAATCATGAATTTTTGTATTTTTGATTAATTTTAAAAAATACGGAAGAATATTATAAATACTCAAGGCATGCATATTAATATGTAATTGCACGGCTAAATTTTCCTGTAATCTTGATATACAACCGGTCTTCCCCTTCGCTCTCCTTTCGCTGGCAGCGAGGACTGAACAAAATTCGTCGTGTCCTGTATCATTGATTAGCTTGATGGAAGAAGAAACCCTAGAAAGCTCTTATCACCCCTCTTTCCAATGCTGCGTATGCCTGTAAGTCTCTGTTCTCGAACTAGTCTCCGCCGAATTTGTTTAGACATTTTAACATATATACATTGATCCATGTGCAGCTGTGCTCTTTCGATACTTTTTGTTTACTTCTTTTTTGATTTCCTGTAATTTTTTTAGGGGCTGTTCGGTGGCAATATTTATGTTAAATCATGCCTAGCGGTACAAACGACCATTTTAAATCTTACAGAATCTTAAATCCCGTTTCTTGTCTTTTTTTACCTTAAATCCCCGATTTAGTAAATCCTGGTATTGGGTGGAACTAACTGTAGAATGAGTTCTTCTGTTGTTCTAATTTTCTGTCTATGAAAATTTGTTTTTGAACAATGAAGCATCTGCTTGATGGACATCAGTTATTTGATTATTTGTCATATTTGGTGCTCAGAGAAGATTCATACTGAGCCTTGCTAATATGATGTCTTCCTGATCAAATTCATGTTGGCAATTAACTCATGAAATCTAGAAACACCGATATATTAGATGCAGCAATTGGTGGATTTCACTAGCTCAATGACGAAGATAAGATAACTTTACCATACTTCCACACGGATGGTCCCGTAGAAGAATAGTATCACTGGATTCAAAGAAAAAGACAAAATGTTTATTAACTTGTGACGATTCAATTCGTTGCAGACGCATTTTTGCCTGTCAAAATGCTGTGACTTGCAAGGTGAATTTAGCTAAACTCACCCAAATTACTACCACATTAGAATACCAACTGTAATTTGAACAATTATCCAACAAAGCCACTATCATTGATGAATTGTTTTTATCAAGTGCCTTAGAATCTGGGCTAAAATGGTGATTATCAAAGAGATTTGCATTTAATGTCTAAAGTTTTATGATCAAGTTGCTGTCTTGATAAAACTGATAAAGGACAAAGTCAGTGATTCCAAAATTGAACAAACCGACCCAATTACTCCTAATTTGGTTCTACCTTGGCACTTCTAGCTAGCTGCCAACTCCATCTAGAGCATCCACTTCAGCAACCAATGCGAACTGACCCTATCTAGCAATCAAGCATTAATGATATTTGAAATGTTGGAAAAACCAGAAAAAATGGCATTGCTATCACTGTGATGATAAATTTAACCTCAACCATGTTTGCGAAGGAAATATGTTTGCAGAAATGATCAAGGAAGTGCTTGAACAAAAATACGATGTTGCTGAAGGTGCTGAAATCCTCCAAAAATCCATGCTATAGTAGACATTAGAGGTGAACTTGCCATAACTGTAGTGTAAGTATTGGTAGATGATGGCTCAACGCACAATTTCATACAACACTGACTCGTCCAGTTCATGGGATTACCCCTTCAACCCACAAGACGATTTCATGTTCTATTTGGCAATGAAGAAACATTATAGTACAAAAATAATTGCGAATAAACAACTATTACCGCTTCGAAAATAATGCAACAAACATGCAAATTCCACAGGATACTGGCTATTAATCTTAAACACGATTTAAATAAATTAAGACCAAAGACCTATGGCCTTCATCTAGAAATTAAGGATCTACAAATTTATGCGTGTTCTTGAAATTTATGCATTTGTACAAAATTTATATTCTAGTTAATCTAACTAAATATAATATAATTTTAACAAAAACATAAGAAAAAGAAGGAAGAGGGAAAGAAAAAATAAAGAAGATGAGAAAGAATTCATTAGAAATGCAAGTCTCATGCTTTTACTAGGAGATAACCTCTCTCGAAAGTTGTCAAGCCTCTCACTTAATCAAATAACTTAATATTAGAATTATAAGGAATTGCTCAACCAATTAGAAGTTTTATTTAACTACTAATTAGTTTTTTTTATATAGAAAAAGAAGATCACATAATAATCATAAACCCATGAAATAAGGATGTCACAAAAGAAAGCTGCAGTATTGTCGAGGAATCACAACATAATAAAGTACTTGGATACTAATATGGTCACAAAACTAAGAGCACAAAGGAGTCTTGCAGATTGTGCCCCATAAATGGGAACAGAGAAACTGAAAATATAGAGAACTTGTGGATGAAGAGCGCCAAATAGAGACTTGTGGATGAAGAGCCTTATCCTTTTATAAGGAGATAACCTCGCCTGAAAGTTTTCATTCCTTTCGTTTAATCAAATAATTTAAATCCAAAAGTTGAAGAAATTGTACATTGAATTACAAATATTATTTAACCGCTAATAATGAGTTATTCGTAATAGTTTTATATCCTTGAAGCCAGAGAATCAAATGCCACATATTGACAAAAACAAATGTAGATTGATTGCAATATCATGTGTTGCGATGTTAGGGTCTGCCTCTTTTTTATTCAAACTGAAGGATTCTTGGAACTAAAGCAATCGTTGATCTGATCGAAATCCAGCCTTTGCCGCCTCTTTTTTTTTTTTCCTTATTTTTATTCGAATTGAACATATGCATCTGCTTGATCGCATGAACTACTTTGTGCGGCATAACTTCTCTCTTTTCATCTGAAATATCATGGAATCGAGAGGGATGGATAACCATTTTACCCTTAATTTAAACAAATCCAAAGGAAAATCCTTTATTAAATAAATTTTGCATAAGTCTAGCTGGTTTGAGATGAAATATTTGCAATAATAGATGAATTCAAATGAATTTGATTAAATTAAAAATGTGAAATGATTCATATTGTTTCTTTTAATCCAATTGATGCTGATTCTATTCTGATTGGTTCCAAACGAGTCGATTGGGCTAATCGAAGCTGCCGCTGTTAAATTGAACTCGAATCAAGTGGATTTAACTCGGTATCGCGCCAATTTGTGTCGACTCGTTTTGATTAATGCCGATTTAATTCAAATCACGTTGAAATTGAGTAATTTTGATTGCATTAATGCCGATTTGATCAAATTAGGTTCAATTAATGTCAAATAGGTTCAATTAATGTCAAATTTGATGAATTTAATTTTTGATTGACTTCAAGTGACTTTATTTGATATCCAATTAACTCCAATTAGCCCGAGATAGGTTGTACAATGTCTATCGAACGTTTAAATTGAACTCCAATCGAGCCCTATCAACTCAAAGACATTCGATTAGATTATTACATTTAGAATTAAATTGGATTTGGGTTGAATTACAAGGCAGGCCGAGACAGTGCTACGTTATTGGGTATCTACCTAAGGGGAATCCTAAAGGCGACGTCTACATTGGGCTATGAAAACCTAGGTCCTAAGGAATGAACTTAGGTAAATCGACCCATACAAAAATGAGGTCTACACGAGCATTATGTGCATATATGCTGATGCAATCAAAAAATTTGGGAGAGGGAGGGCCCCAAATTTTTGATCACAAAAACAAATACTCTTACTAAGATAATAAAAATTCAAATAACTCATAAAAATTAGACTAATTAGACTTGTACACACTCTTTGATAGAATGGAAAAAATATTAAGAGAAACAATCCGCAAGTGTGTGTATAACATTTTGTAATAATTCTCTTTGCACATAATGAACAAATTGTATACAGTGTGTACAATCTGTGTATAAGGTTGTTCTACAAACTGTGTACAACCTTATGCACATTTTGTACAAGTCTTGTACACAATGTGTACAAGATTTTTGTATGCAGTGTGTACAAGCTTTTGCACTGTACACAATGTGTACAAAAGGAATTAATACATAGGTTGTATGCGGAGCAGAAGATTTTCCAAAAGATTAAAAAAACATAAATAGTGTACAAGTGCAGAATGCATTGAAAAGTGGAAAGACACCACATAAATCATTGAGTACCATGTATCTAAGCAAAAATGTCACATATTGTTTCAATATTTCTAATTGAACTTCGGAAACTTTCAAAAATGAAAAAAAAAATCATGTCTTTTCTATTTTTGAGGCATTCTTCATAAGAATAAAATTGAAGCATACATACTAATCCCTACAAATTTACCGATAAGTTTAAACCTACAGCTCCTCCCACCAAATTGACTTCCCATTCATCCAACCTTGGCATCTCTGCACTATCCTGTAAACTTCCCGTTCTTCTTATCTGAAAGTTTTTAGCCTTCGCGACCTGTGAACATATCATCTCATCATGGAATTTAACGTCATCCAAAGCTGTTGTTAACCTCTGTGTAGAAGAAAAAAAAAAATCCTGCATACACATACCTTATACACGGCGGATCCACGAAGTCTGCTGATGCCCTCCGTGAATCTCGCTGGATTCGGCGCCGTTCGCGTCACTTTCCCGTGAAACCTGCGACGACGGCCTTGATCCTCGCCCTTTTCGCGTCTATAAAATGCGACCGAAGCCCTTCTCATTCGCGTCTCGCTGCCTCGCTCCACTCCCTCACTTCCGATACCTCTGCTCTTCCAACTCCACATCCCATCAATTACTCTCGATCTCCAGCGCCTGCTCCCGTCGACCCATCTCCACTATCGATCTCCCTCTATCTCCATCCAAACCCTGCCGCCTCCAACTCCTCTTTATTTGATCAGAAGACCCAGTCTTCGATCCTCTCACCCGACCCCAGCTCCCTTGCCGACTACCTGTGCCGACCCAAGCACACACACAGAGAGAGAGAGAGAGAGAGAGAGAGAGAGAGAGAGAGAGAGAGAGAGAGAGAGAGAGAGAGATTCCCCTACCTCCCTTGTTGTTGAGCGACTTCACTCCTTCGATCGACGTTCCCTTCCTGTCTTGATCGGAGGCAGCAACCAGGAGCTCGTTGGCTGTGAAGGTAGTCGGCCACTTTTCACGTGCTTCTTCGGCCAAGTCTCTTAAACAGAGAGTTTAAGAGACTTAAACTCTCTGTTTATAAGATTAAGCTTAATCTTATTTTAATTTATAATTAAGTTAAATTAATTATAATATTAATTATAATTAGTTTATCAAAATTATAAATTAAAAATGATTTATTTATAATAATTTAAATTAATAATTAATTGTATATTAAATAAATAATTTTAATTAGTTTTTGATTAATCATAAATTAAATCACTAATTAAGTTATGATTAATTTGAAAATTAAAAAAAATTAATTATAGATTAAATATAATTAATTATATTTTTCTTAATTTAATGATAAAATAAATCTAATAAATTTATAATTAATTTTAAATAGTTAATTATATATTAATTATAATTAATTTATCATTAATTATAAATTATACATTTTAGTTTATAATTAATTATGAATTGAATATAATTAATTATATGTCAAATATAATTAATTATATATGATTTATAATTAATTATGAATTAAAAAAAAAGATCCCTCCACTCTATTACCTCGGCTTACGTGTCGAACCGGAAAACCGCCCCAAGCACGTCTTTGGTGTGCGTGGTGGGATGGGACCCCGGTGCGACACCTACGACGAGGTAGGCGAGTGACCCCTCGATCCATTTGCCAACCACGACAACCCCGCGAAGGTATGAAATTTTCTAAACTCAAAACTCTGCTTCAACGTTTGTGACAAACCGGAAAACCGCCCCAAGCACGCCTTTGGTGCGCGTGGTGGGATGGGACCCTGGTGCGGCACCTACGGCGAGACGGGGTCGCTCATAAGTACCTCCGAGCAGGGGGAAATCAAAATTGCTTTTAAAAAATGCTTTTTAAAACCACATACACGCTTTTATTGCGCGTGGTGGGAGAAAAACAAAAATACAACCGCCGCGGTGTCTCACCAACACCAACCGTGCACGTCTTTGTTGACGTGGCGGGTAGGCGGCCTCTTGGTTTTTCCCCTAAACGGGGAGACGTCGGGAGGCTGCCGAAATTTTGTCCAAAAGGACAAGGACTTGAACTAAAAATGAACTATGATTCAGACTTGAACCTGAACTGAAGCAGAGGACTCGGGCTTGTATTTGGACACAAAATGAACTATAAAAATATTTGAAATGAAATTGAACATGAACTTGAACTCGAGTGAGTATGGACTTGCAATAAATGATTTAAGTGAACTCAAATCAGAAAAATAACAGAGGAGTTGGACTCAATTTGAATGGCACTTGAACTTGAACTTCAAATAAAATTGAACTGGACTCAAGTAAGAACTTGATTGAACTCTACAAGTATCACAGTGGACTTGATATTGAACATTCAAGCGCAAATGACTTGAATCAAATCATAAGGCTTGAACTTGCAAATGAACTCCAATGAAGACTTGAGTTAGAACATGGTCTTGAGCTCGAATGACAACAGGGGACTTGATTTGAGCTACAGAAAGAACCAAGGTTGAAATGAACTTGATGTAAGAAAGGTCTAACTTCAATTTGACCTTGCACATTGAACTAGAATTAAACTCATAAGCTTAAGCTTGAAGCAAGGAATATGAATTTTAAAGAACTTGGATCTGAATGAAGCATTTGAGTTGAGCCAAACTTTGTATTGTTCAAATAAGCATCAATCAATGAAATAGGGGACTCATGAAGGAGGGCATCCAAGTGTGATCAACATGCAAGCAAAAATCAAGTGGAAGTGCAATCAAATAGCAAATGATCATTTGTGATATGCAAACACTAATTGACAATCATGGGTTCTCAATCAAGACCAAATGGATAATTCATATAGAGGGGCATGACATAAGTCACTAAGCAGTGGATCGGACCATCAAAATGATAGCAAGTGTCAACCATGCAAGCAAATGTACAAAGACTTGTGGATTTCAACATAACTTGCTTGAAAATCATAACACAAAGACTTTCTCAATGTTATAACTCATTCATAACGATTATGTCACTTGAAGTAAAAATGCTAACAAGTATAACTCACCCACAAGCATGTGTAAGGAATACATGGAGAACATTTAAGTGGCAAATGATCAAGATGAGTTTGCAAATGAAGGCCAATGATTTATAATGAACTTGGGCATCCCCAAGTACATGAATGAAGCATGCAATAATGTGATGATCTCTTCACTGAATCGATTTGCAAATGCTACAGAGAAGGAATTCTAGATGAGGGTACTTGTTCATTAAAGATATGTCAATTTGAAAGTTAAAAGTGATCCTATTACATTCAACGCAAGTTGATGCATAAGTTATCATAATCAATGATATGGAATGTTGTATGAGACATGATTGGTCGGCACAACTTCAAGAAAAATTTATGAGATCCTGAATGAACATTTCACAGATGAATGGTGACGGTCGATACACAACATTCATAATACTTATGCTTTTGAAAGAATAAGGCAATTACAACAAGTACATTAATACACTCATTAAGAGAGTATGAAAGATATACAACAAGTGTAACAAAGAGATACAAGCATAGGAGCTCCTACGAGTTACTACAGAAAATCCCTGTGTATCTAACGTGCTATCCACAAACAAACCCAAAGGAGTTCTAATGATAAATTACTCACTGGTGATGATTTGGAAAGTGCAGTAATATGCATATAAGTAAAGACATGAAGATACAAAAATCCTTACAATCAGTGATAACAGACGTGTTTCATAAGTAATAAGTTATCTGCGAGCATATATATGCATATGAGATATCATCTAAAGGCAAGGGTGGTAAATCAACATGCTCCTATAAGCTACTCTACTATGTATTCAATGTGTATCCCACAAGCAAAATACATAAGGACTACGGACCAAGCACAAGTTTCTACATGCTACTGTGAAAGATTGTCTACAAATGATTTCAAATTACCCCCGCACGTGCACCGTAGTTTGTATACACATAGGTACACTAAAAAGGGTAAAAGCAATCAAATACCTGCAAGGGCCCCGATGAGCGTTTTATTGGTACACACGTAACGTCTAGGAATGCTGCGCAAGTAAATAAATTTAAACCCAATCCTCCTAAGCAAGTAAATGGGAGTCGACAAGGTTCAACAAATAATTATAAAATGCCCCCAAACACCCGCATGGGCCCCGACGAGCGTATTATTAGTACACACGTGACGTCTAGGGATGCTGCGCGGGTCAACAAGTGAATTCAAGTTTGAACCCGATCCTTCTATACGGATCAATAGAAGTTGACAGGGTTCGAACAATCAAACAAGTATACGGTGATGGTGACCGGTATATTTGTTTTAATACATTCATATTAGGCCTTCAATGCCTATAACAATGAGAATTCACTATCAAGGGCATAAAGCTTACGAAACCCAATCCTCTGTCGACAGCCCAACATAGTTGACGAGGTTCAATCCATAAAGAGAAATGACCCCAAACACCCCGATGATGGCCGTGTTGAATGCAGATCTCAACCGATACGTTCCTTAATGGCGTTAAATCCTTGAGATATGAATCAATAGGATATGATCGATAGGGCACAAAGCTCTCTGTTAGCTAAGGTGGATTCAAATTTGTCCCCTTAGGCAAACATCCATCCCATGTCTACAAGGTCCCCTTGGACGAAGTAACCCATGGCTGCCGACAAGGATCCTTCTGTCAGGTTGGGTCGACTACCTCCTCTGACTAAGTAGACCAGGGACCATGATGGCCCGGGACGACGGAACCATGGGATCTTGATCGGGTCTATCATCCATTCCCCCACCATCCGCTTTAAGTTCCAGATGGTGAAAATTCCAATTTTAAATATCAAATTTCTCAAATCTTTCAAACCAAATTCCAAATATATGAACCTTCAAATTCTCAACACCCAAATCTTCAGATTTCCAAAATTCCGTATCCATTGCTGCTACTATATGCCAGATGCACGTATCTCTATACAAATCTGATTGATGACTAGCCTTAATCGAAAGTTCTCTCTCGTGATCGGGAGGGGTAATTAACTATAGGGGCTTGCGCCTATAGGAAACCCGAACTCAGATCATAAAGTCCTCGCAAAATGAGGGCGAAATCTCTGGGTAGTGTCTTATCTACAAACCCATCTGCCTTCCAAAATTTACCTCGAAACTTATTCAGTTAAAACTCCCTCGCCGAAAGAAAAGCGCGAGCGGAGGCCGGGGCCGAATTTTCGGAGCCCACAGCTGTCTCCATCGTCTTAATCGGTTCCTTCAAAATTTTGGGATGATTCGCGGAAAAGTTTTATTCGGTGAAAACCCTAAACTTTGGGAACCAGTCACGGGGTTTTCTCAAAAGGAGCGCAAACTAAAATAGCTTGGCCGGGTCGTTGGGTCACGTGTTATTAAAAAAATCCAAGTGGCTGTACAAAATAAATTGACCCAAAAAAATACGTTTCAACCACGGATTGGAATTTAGACGAAGAGCTACGTCCGGATTTTGCACATAATAATTTCTCCTAATCATGGAGGTAGTCCAATGGTTGAAAATGGCTTCATAAACTATAGGAGGTATAACGAGCCTCTTCTAAATGTGTTTTTTGAAACCTTTGCTGTTAACAGTTTTTATGGTAGTAGTTTCCAATGTCCAAATATTTGGTGGAAAAGGTCTCCCAATAATTTATGACCAAAAATGACTGGAAGCGCAACGTATGGATTAAATCATTCTCAAAATTTAAGGTGGAAAGTATTAATTCTTTATGAGCTTGTGCAGTTTAAAATGCTTCATTTTATTTTTAATTTTTGCCTATCTCTTTCTCTCTCTCTCTCTCTCTCTCTCTTTATATTTATATATATATATATATATATAGCTGTAGAAATTATTTGCAAGTCATCTCATATTTTCTTAATCCTCTATTCTCTAATGTTGTCTTTTTGCCATTACAGGGATCTACTCTTCAAGCCTGTTGTTCTTGGTATGAAAGTATTTCGGATGATTTAACTTCAGTGGATGATGTCTTCTTCAGCAGATTAATAAACGTTTTTTCTTGTTCAGCATGTGGTCATATGTCATGCTTTTGGTGCGTGCATAAGGCTATGCATGTCTTCCGAGCATCCCATTGTGCTATATGCAGGCAGCCCTACATTCATTTCCCTAGCATATGCCAGCTGCTTCACCTTTTGGTCTCGAAAATGGAACCTGTAGCATATAAACGAAGGGAAAAAGAAGTCCTAGGTATCTTGCTGATCTTTCAAATATAACTGTGTCGATGTCCTTTACCTTATGAGTTTTTTATTTAAGACTTTGTCTTGTGATATTGGACCTCTAATTTTCCGTCGATTACAAAATATTAATCGTGGCTTAGATTTTTAATAAACTGACACGTTTGATACTATCATTCAATGGTTCTATCCCAACTATTTGGAGTTGGCTGTATCTTTTTTTTTTTATTCTTGTTAAGTGTTGTATGAGATGTTAACTTTATTTTTTATTCATATTAAAACTTCTAATTAAGTTATGTTTTTTCTATCATTTTTGTTCCTAATCCTTCCACATATCTATCCACCCACGTTAGGATTTTCCCTCCATTTTATACCAAATCATATAGTCTATATATCTCTACCTTAACTTCAAAACTTGGCACTCCTATCGTATCTTTATTTATTTCATTCTTCCTAGATTTATAATTTATATTTGTCACACTTATCTATGACTTGTGCGTAAAATGATTTTTTAATAGTAGCTGATAAATTGAATAAGAAGGTATACAAAGTTAAATATTTTGATATCCTATATTTTTAAATCATTTAAATATAATACTAAATTATCAAACAATAAATATCTTTTTCATATTGTTTAGGTTGTTCTATTTTAAAGTATTTTATTTAAATTATGGTTGAACAAATCTATGGTTGTTCATATATTAATTTATTATTTGGGCATAGAATAAATTAAATTTGAGATTCCTCGATTAAGCACGATCAACAAGGCATTCTACTTTGACTGGATCTTTAATAATTAGGACCCAAGATAACATGGTCACCTTCATTATATTAATAAGAAACAAAAGCCAAAACATTTAACATGACCATCTTAAATACACAAGGGAGCAGGTATGGGCCTGGTTCACTTTGATTTTAAGTCCACTATTACTAGAAATCAAATCAAAGTGATCATGGAAGTTGGAAAATTAGAATGAGCTGACAATGATTGTACTCTTGAACCATTCAGTTCGATTTTGATTTTAGTTAGTGTTAGAAAACAATTAAATAGGCCTCCTTAAAAAAAAAAAAAAAAATAGGCCTCCTTTAGACAGCAATGTAATTACATAAGGCCATAACTGACCACATAAATATGGGAAGATATAAGGAAATTTGCCTAATCAATTTATAATAAATGATGATAGTAATTCAATAAATAAATCCCTTCCCATTAGGAATCAAAGGACTGGAAGAAAGAAGCTTCCTTTAGCGTGATAATAGGGAGAATTAGGGTTGGCGAACAGCCAGCTGAGGCCCTGCAGCCTGGTGGAGAGTTGCATGCTAGCTGGTGGACAGAGAGGCTCTGTAGCTAGCTGGCAGGAGCTGATGCGTGATTTAAACGCATATACAGTTGTGGCTTTGTTCTGACAGATGCAGGGAGTGATCAATGTAGGAGGCAGCTATCATTGTAAATGGCATGATAAGATTTTCACATTTCTCCTCAAGCTAGAAATATATGTTGATCATTCCTAATTTGGATGTAAGGTTGTCAAATTGAGATTGATCAACAGCTTCAGTAAGGATATTAACAGTCTCAAGTTTTGTTGGAGTGTAATTAATTTGGATGATTCCTTGATAAAAATTTTCTTTTATAAAATGTGTATCAATTTCAATATATACTTGGTTCGATCACGGTGAACAAGATTCTTACCAATGCTAATATAAAATGTGTATCAATTTCATTATCATAGGTTTTATAGTGGAAAATTTAAAATCTTCGAGAAGGTGTTTAAGCTATGTACTTTAATAATTTCATTGGCTATAGCCCTGAATTATACTTTAGCACTTCTTCGAGCTACTGCATGCTATTTTTTTTTGCTTCTATGCATAGCTAAATGTTATCATATAAATGAGCAATAACCATATGTTGATTGAAGATCAGTTACAAATCCTACCAAGTCAACATAAGTGCATATTTCAATACCTGTGTTAGACCCCTTCTTGAAGAATAATACTTTTTAGGTGTCTTTTTAATATATCTTAGTATCCTATATGCAACATCAAGCTTCTTCTTTATGGGGTTTATTTATAAATTGATTAACAATATTAACAAAAAAAAAAAAAAAAAAAAAAAAAAAAAAAAAAAAGATCTTGTGTGAGATATATAGATAAGTTTCCCTATTAACTGTAGGTATCTTTCTTTGTCAACTAAGGTAGCATCTTTCTTGTTCTAATTTTTTTAATGGATCATTGTTATGCTAGTTGGTTTACCCCAAAGCGTTCTAATTTCTTTTAGTAAGTCTAAATGTATTCCTGTTGCAAGGTGAATACTGAATACCCCTTTGCTTGTCTTATTATTTTAGTGCCTAAGAAAATTTTCAATAAACTAAAGTTGATTTCAGATTCTACAGTTTGGACACCTTTCATCCTGTACATTTCTTCTTCATGATTTTTTGTCAAGGTGATTTCATCAGTATATAGGTTCAGGATAAAAGTTTTACCTTCTGATGTTTTGTTGGTGAATAAATTGTGCTCATATTGTTATTTAGAGTAGCAATGCCTTTTAATCACTATGGTAAATCTGTCGAAAAATGCTTTTGGTGATTGTTTAAAAACATACGGAGATTTCTTGAGTCTATAGATTTGGTTTGTATTACTCTCTCTCAAATACGAAAGAAATTGTCATGTGGACTTTATCTTGTAAATCTCAATTTAGAAAGAGAAAAAAATTACTTGGGGTTACTTAGACTTTTGATCGCCATGGTAAATCTAATAATGGAAGACTTGGAGAAGGTTTATTTGATACCAATGTTTTCATGGAATCTTGTTTTATGCAGTAGGTGGTACCACAAGGGGATCTTATTTCTGAGATGATTTCATAACCATCATCAAGGCTTCTTCAAAAAAATTGTAGAGGAAAGATGAGGAAAACTTAGAATTCTTAGAGGATGTGAAATATAGACAAGTATGGAGGATAGAGAATGGAGAAGGATGAATTACGTAGAAGCGAGTCTTTGATATGATGTTGAACAATATCAGAATAATACTACATATTTTTCATATTCACAATGGCTGAAAGGCTACACAATTTATAGGAGATATTAGCACTCCTAGAATAGGCAACAAGGTAATTACCTAAGGCTATAACCGGCCATATAAATGAGGGAAGAAATAAGATGGTGATTTGCCTGATCAGTTTATAATAAAGCATGGTAGGAAATAAATCCCTTCCCATTAAGTGTCAAAGGACTGGAGGATGGTTGCCATAGGCATGACAATAAGGAGAATTCAGTGCTGGAGGACAACCAGGAGGGGCTGTGTAGCCTGGCGAAGGGCTGGATGCGAGCTGGTGGATAAGCAGGTGCTTGCAGCAGGTACTGCAACTAGATGGCAGCAACTGGATGCTAGATTTGAATGTAGGGTCAATTACAACTTGGTGCTGGCAGACATAGGTAGTAATCAAAGCATGAGGCAGCTATCATGGTAGATGACAATGCAGGATTTCCACAGCTTCAGTACAATTTTATTTGACTTAACCCAAATTAAACTAAATCAATTGATTTATACAAATTAAATAAAAAACTGAAACTAAATTGCACTCAAACTACATTGGATCAATTCTTTGTGTGTAGTTTTTTGTTTTTCAGTTTAGGTGGACTTTTTTATAGAATTAGTTAAAGGAAGAATAGTTTTTTTTTTTTTTTTCAGTTTAGGTGGACTTTTTTATAGCACTAGTTAAAGGAAGACTCATTGGATGCCTAACTTTTTTTTTTTAGTAAGATCAAATACATTTAATTTGAGAGAAAAAATGTTTGAAAAATGAACATAACTAGGGCTGCAAAAGAACCGAGCGTTCCACAAGCTACTAATGACTCCACTCGATTACAGCTTCATGATTGCTTGTTTAAGTAATCAAACAATTTTGAACAATTTTTAAAATACTTGATTGTTAAATAAACAAATATGAACATCCATGTGTTCGGCTTGTTTATGCGCATGAACAATATCAATCAAAACTCATGAATAAGCTCAATAAGAAGCATGTTAATAAGCTTATTTAAATCTTTATTTTGTATATTTTCACATAAATTTATTTTTATTAAAATAAAGTATTCTTATTATATAAAAAATATTTAATTTTTTATGTTACACTATTTTAATATAATGAATTTATTCATAAGCAGTTGGTGTTTATTCATGTTTGCAGTATTTTTTGCTTACAGTATGCATGAATAAGCTTGTTTATAAGAAGAATAATTTTATGAGCTTGTTTGTTCGTGAACGGACTCGTTTGGTATATCGAAAATTCTCCCTATATCTATTTGCGAATAGGTTCTAGGTGATTGTTTATTAGTAGTCTCGATAAGACTCATTTGTTTAAAGCTCGATAAGCATAAACGAACTGAATATGAACCAAACACATTACAAAGATGAACATCTATTCTTTTAAATGAACCAAGCTTGAACACAAGCAAAAAAGTTCGAATTGAGTTTGAACCAAGCTTGAATAAGCTAATAATAAACAATCTCAAATATGAATACACACATACTCCGCTCAGTTCATTTGTAGCCCTAAACATAACTAAATTGCCATTGAGTAATGATAATAGCACGAGTGATGCTTCAAAATAATATAAATATATAATTAAATAGTAAATTAAAGTAAATCATTTTCTTTTGTGTATTAGTTGTTTTATATAAATTGAAAAGAATTCTCGCTGTGTAGCCACCTACCACTCAACAACATAAGTGTAAATCTCAAAGCAAAATTAAGGGTTTTTAGCCACCTTTCATATATTTATAAGTTCTAGGGACATTTTGCATTCTTGCTGCTTGACAAAAGTCATGAAAATTTCGAAGTAGACTCAATGGCTCTAAACCATCTTTCTATTCTTATCTTTGGCAACATTTGCTTGATAACCTTCTAGCTTTTATGGCTAACACCTTTAGCTCTCTCTCTTAGGAACTTAATATGTGAAGTTCTACTCTATGGAATACTGTTATTTAGGAGTCATCTTAAAAAAAAAAAGGATA